ATGAAATATTTTATCCTTATATATATTATATAATAATATTATAACAATATATAAGTGAGAATATATTTGTGCATAAGAAAGTTGGATCGAGTAAAAAGTTTCTTCGTATTGTTCTGATAAGTAGATTTAAGATCCCATAACTTTGATAATTTTAATCGAATCTGAGAAAACTTGAGTATAGTGGAAAACTGATATATATCACATAGAGTAATATTAAACAAATTTATTCAGTCAAAAGTTATTGCGACTTGAAAATGAACGGAGGAAATTATTATTCAAGGCATTTTCAAATGTTGTTCACAAAACAAAATAAAAAACAAAGAATGCGAGATTCGAGTTGATATAATAAGTATAATTAATATTGACAATAAAAAATAATGTATTTAAATTAAGATAAGAAGGAAAAATCATTTAAATCGAATCTACATCTAAAAGAGGACATTCCGCATAATTTCCAATCAATCACGTTACATGCTTTCTTACAAATGTATGCATCACGTAATACAAATATTATGCGTTCATGCGTATGCATATTAGTTGTATACACATACATATACATATATATATATGTATGTATATATAACAATAAGAGAACATACAATGTGATTACTGTCGCGTAATAGTAAATACCAATGCAAAAGTAAAGATCATCAAATTAAAATCTACAGTTTCGAAAACACTAATTCGAATTTGTGGTATTGTTTTAAAAATCTTTCGTATCAAAGTGAAAAGAAATTTATTGAAAAATGCAAGTGTTCTGTAAGAAAGACAGAAGAATATTGAAGAATAAAATTGCAGAAGGTGTTTTTTAAGAACTTCCTGACGAGAAAAAATATATTACTTAACATAAAAAATGTGTGAAAGATAATTAATCCTACAGAATTGAAAAAGAATTTAACCAGTTAAGTGTGTTTGACGACTATATCCGTCATGGAAGAATGGCAGAATTTTGTGTTTTAATGGCTGTATGCGTCATGCGTTAAATTTTCATACAATTTGATATTTAAATAGTAATTCTGGCGAAAACTTAATTATATTCGTAAATATTAATATGTTTAGAATGCTTAGGGGTCAGAACGAAATGAAATAAACAAATGAAAATTATAGTTAACTGGTTAAAACAAAGATGAATCTAATCTAGGATATGACAGAAAGAATGTTTAACGTTACAAATTGGAAACAAAGATTATCTTCTTCTCTATCAACACTTCTAATATTTTCATTTTTAAAGGGTAGAAAAAAAGGATAAGAGAAGTGCAAAATTTCATTCGTATAAACTTTCGAGAAAGTTACGATGAATAATATTGCAATGTTCCAATGATCGTGACAGTTTCGTCTAAGGAATACGCAAATCTGTCAAACTCTCTCTGCTATTGACATTTCGTTTCTAAATCTATCACGATTCCTACGTTTCGACTTCTTCTTCTTCTTCTCCTTCTTCTTCTTCTTCTTCTTCTTCCTTCTTTCTCTGTTTCTGACAGTTTCTCCGATCCTTCGCGTAATAGTAAGTGCTACGACATAGTATAAAAAAGAATAAAAGAAAAAGAAAGTAAATTTCTCTCCGTCATCCGATTATTTTGTTCATTTCCAAACGAACAAGTAACCCTCATTAAACATCCAATACAATCGTACAAATGATAAACGTATATGACGATACGATTAAAATAAATTAACCGAATACGTTCTACCGGCACGAAACATTTTACGTTCAATTTAATCGATTTAAAAAAAACCATTAAGTATTTAAGACTATCAAATTATTATAGGAAATACCTATAGAAATTATTTTATAATTGATATTAACTATTGAACATACGCATGCACGCACGCATGCATGCATACGTACATTTGTTTTTATTTAAGGGATTACATGGGTTTGGGACTTTCAAACAAATTTTTTTTTTTTATTATTTTTTTTCAATTCTATAACTCATCTAGAATATTGTATTGAATTTTGAAGTCGATAGGAGTAGTAGTTTAAAAGATAGAGCCTTGAGAAGCACTCAAATCTTCAAACTTTAAAATTTAGAAATCTTTTTCTAAAGTCGGTTGTCAAGATTTCTCGAAAACTATTAAACCGATTTTCATGAAATTTGCTACACGTCTTCGTGATACTATTGACAAGGACTTGGA